GATTTTCTTCAATTTTCTAGGGATTTCATAGAAGGCATGATTTTTTATAGAATGGCTGCGTTCAGCAGAACGGTTGTTTTGCAACTGTTGGAAGTTTCCTTCGCGCTAATTGGATCATACTTTTAGATCTAGAAGAATGGTCCTATCTCAGCAGACAATCATAAAACGGTTGCAAAACTGTTGAGTCTGCTGAACGCAGCCAATGATTATAAGACAAGATGGCAATAAAAAGTTTTGATGTTTGTAACTTCATTTCATCCATATATTTAAAAAATGATGTGATTCGGAAAATGAAATCTTAAAAATTATTTTTGACTATCTAAACATAATAACGCGGAACCTAAATTAACCAAACTTCATTGGTGAAGAAGACACATGAGATGTTATTCTACGATATAAATTAAGAACTCATAAGATATATTTTTGTTACTCAAAATTTAAATGCCAGCTTAGCCCCGGTCTCTCTCCTTTTTTAAAATAAAATACATACACATATTACGGGATTATATTTAACAAATTTTAATTTGTGTGTGTGTGTTGATTTAGATAATTCTATCCAAATGCTTTATATTCTTTTAACAATGTTATCGTGAATACACGAGTTTAATTAAAAATGTGTGAGTACAAAAAATTCGATATAAGTCGAATGGGTACCCTCATATTAGCGGATTAATAATTATAATTTTTGAAATATACAAAAATACAAAAAATTGTTAAATTTTATATAAGTTTTTCAGTATAAAAATGATTATTTAAAATCCCGCGCTTGAATCCCCAAAAATTTTGTACTTAAAAAAAAAAAAATTTTATATAAATTATCAAATTACTATTTGCAACATATTTATTTATTATACGATCCTTATTTATTATGTGATTTTTATTTTTTTATATTCTATAAATTTAACAGAGAGAAAGTGGTACTCAATATTGTATTTATTAACAAGTTTATTTAGTACTTGACTTAATATCCATCCAATGCATCTATTGAATCTTAAATTAATACAATATAAAATTAATACAATTTGAAGTTCAACAATTGGATGAAAATATAAAATTATAGAAGTTCTTGCCCACCTCCAGAAATAAGCAGGCATGCGATAGAAAGTATTTCTTTCCTTTCTAATTAGGCGAAATTAAGCACATACACACACGGTGTTTATTTTTTTATTCACTCTATTCCAATGACGTTTTCAGAAACTAATGTGTTAATAAGACGTATGAAAATTTGCAATTATGCCGTCGATTCGTTCACTATTAATCGTCTTCGTCACGAACGCCTCCCGCTGGAACTTTCGGACCGCCCGCTCGCTTTGCCATAATGATTTGGTCTACTTTAAGAACCGCACACGCCGCACCGACCGCATATTTGATCGCCCATTGCTTCGTCAGATACAAATCCAAGATTCCGGCCTCGATAGTATCGATCAAAGCTGCGCTCTCACCCTGTAAAAAGTAATATATAATTGAAGTAATTATCTATATAGAAAGCTTTTCAGCAAGAGACACAAATTGACGCAAGAGTCATCCCGTCCTTGTTCGATAATCAGTAAAGAACAAGGACAGAATGACTCTTGTGTTGATTTGTACCTCTGCTGGAAAGTCTTCATAAACGTCATAGATTTCAAGAAAGATAAGCCTAAAACCATAAGAGTTAAAATAGAAGGGAGGGAGGGAGGGGGAGAGGGGGAGGGAGAGAGAGACATACATACATCGATATCAAAACCATAGTTCTTCTTTCCTTCCTTGTGTGCTGCATACAACTTTGATACAAGCTCAGAAGCGCGTACACCGCTACTCTCGGCCAGAGTTTTCGGAAATATCTCTAAGGCAGTGGCGAATTTGCGTGCAGCATACTGCTCAAGACCGGGTAGCGTATCCGCATAAGCCGCCAGCTGTGCGGCAAGCTCGATCTCCGTAGCACCTGCACCAGGAACAAATCTACCGTCTTTCGTAATGCCTTTGAAGGTATTGACACCATCATCAATTGCGCGCTCGATATCATCCATATAATTCTCGGTCGAACCACGCACAAGCACGGTGCTGACGCGGTTTTCTTTTCCCTCCAGTTTAAACACTACCACTATAGTGTCTCCCAATTCGTCTATGTATACCGTATCGGCATATCCCAATTCTTCTTTCGACGGAGGTATCTTTGAAATAAATTACTGATTATTACAATAGTTTATTCTAAAACATTAGATCTGTTTTTCATTTTTGCACTATACTGTACTAATGCCGATACTCATAAGTTCTTATAATTAAGACAGTCTTAAGTAATAATCTTCAGATATCCTTACCCAATCACAGGGTCACATTAGCCCTTAATTAATTAATTAATTAATTAGCTCTTAAAACATTACTTAAGTCGATCTTGAAATAAGAACGGACTGTGAATATCGGTCTTGAACTTTCTCACTTTTGTCAAATATCAGACATATACTTATTTCACTTTAAATTCCAAAAGTATACACTAATTAAGGTATAGAAAATAAGACCTATAATTGCGTATATATCAGATAAAGTTATGCAAGATACTAAAATGTCTAACAGAATTGAGAAATCAGGACCAATAAATTTACCAGTTTCGACAGCGCGGTGGCACCAACGGTCTTGCAAAGTCGCCTGATGTCGAATTTGCTCGGGATACGAACAGCCATCAGATTATACTTGTTCATATAGTGCAGAGCCATGTTGCCGAATTTTCCACCGGATACAACCACTGTGGCGCCGCTATGGGCAATTGCCTTGATCTGGTTTTCTAACAGCGATTCCTCACCACGCGAAAATTTCAATAGCTCATCGGCTGTTTTAATGAGCACTGTACCTTTGGTCTCGGTCTGAATGATGTCCACAGCGCAAGTGTAAACCGCAATTTTTGCTTTGGTTTTCTTCGTGACATCTCCTTCCACGTGACGCTTGAATACCATGCCTTGCATTACTTGGGAGTTACTCAAACCACCTCCTAGTATTTTACAAACTCGTATGTTGTCAACGTTAAATGTTGTCTTCTCTGGCAAAATAGAGATACAAGCCTTGGTGACGAGAGAAGCAAGGATATCCTCGTTTCCATATTGCTTGCTCATGATAGTGCTCCTAATTCCCTTCTTTACTTGTTCCTCTTCTCTTACATCTTTTACTTCATGAACAATTAGAGTTGGTAAGATTTCAAGTGCTTTGTTCAAGACATTCTCGTAACCTTCAATAATCTCTGAAGTTGTAATGCCCTGTAATGAAAAAATTAAAATGTAATTTATTTCTATGCATATATACATTAAATGCATGTATTTATTATTTCTGGATAAATATATTTTAAATAAAGAAGTAAATACTTTACTAGTACATCAATATAATTAAATATTATAAAGAAACATACCAGACGAAGCAATCCTTCTGCCGCATGAAGCAATTCTCCAGCAAAGATGATAACAAAATTTGTTCCATCTCCTACTTCAGCTTCCTGCATTTTTGATGCCAAGACTAACAACTTGGCAGCTGGATGCTCCACTTCTAACTCGTTGACGATTGTCACCGCGTCATTTGTTACAAACAGCTTCTCAATATGATTAATGATCATTTTATTCATGCCATTAGGGCCGTATGCACTCCTTACAGTATCAGCAAATTGTTTGCAAGCTGTAATGTTCCTATAGACTGCTTCTTCGAGACCCGAAAAGTACTAAAAACATAAAATAACAAATTTATCAAAATCAAGTTGCCAAGCTGATTTAATATGTAAAAAAATCAAATTTTCCATCTTGACAATTCTTATACATATAAAAAATGTTGACGTCACACTCAAATAACCTATTCTTAATATTTTATTCAAGTTTAATTTTCTAAAACAAGACATAACAGGGCAAAAAGTTAAAATCTTCATTTTTCTATGCATATAAAACTTGTACAAATTTTCAAAAGCCTTGACGACGTACACACACACGTACACACCCATGCAAAAGTAATTCATTCTCAATATTTTATTCAGTTTGATTTTCTGAAACAATACAAGACATAGGTATCGTTTCGCTCTTTGCGTATCGAAGATTCTCGAGCACTCCAAATTCCTGAAATATCCATAAAAGGCAAGAACGCGAGCCGATCCCTTCCTCGTGTATCCTTCTCCGGGAGCGAGCGTTGTCAACGGAATCGCGAGCCGGTTAATCGCATGCACACGATAATTGTGAAATGAAATGTCACTTACGCGGGCCCCATCCTTGAGCATCTGTGCCACGCCAGGCGCCTTCGGTACGTGCATAGCCATTTTCGTTGGAGATTTCGAAAAATCGTCTCTTCGTGTGACACCACGTTTCGTCGTTCAGTTCCAAACAGGATGGAAATTGGTGGAGGTAGACACTAGGGTGACTAATCTTCCATATTATGAACGAAACATCGAAAAAAGCGCCTCTAGTAGTAGCTGAAGTCAACTACATCAATGTAGCGTCTCCTATATAATGGCTGCGTTCAGCAGAGAAAGCAGCTTT